CTAGAATGACTAAATTGGAGCAGATCTTTATTGGCTGCCAAACACAATAAACTACACAGAAACCACAAGTAGAGTATTCCTTCTCCACTACTATAACAGGGATTATTTTAACCAGATGCAGGAGGAACCTTAATACACAAGAAACATTTTCTATTTGGGCGGTTTTATTATTTATGTTAAGGAAAACAGTCTTAAATAGCACACTATCCACTTTCCAAGTCATGATAGGCTGACTGTGCAATCCAGACAGGAGCCAGGTATGCTTTGGTTATCTGCACATGTTAATGCAGTCTGTCTGCTCGGAAAATTGCTCTAAAATACTTAAAAAGTGACATTGGAATGTTATACCATAGGTAAAATAAGTCAGCCATTTCCAAGGAAACTGAGTCCTTTGAAAAATCTGTGATTTTGAAGAATAAGTTGACTTTAAAAAGTCTATTAGAGATTGAACTTTTTTTAAAATAGCTTTTAAGATTTGGCATCTAAAGGCCTGATTGAGATATTTAGGAAGAGGTCTATTTACTTGTGGCCTATTTTTATTGGGGTTTTTTTTTGTTATTATTATTACGATTTTTTTCAAATATCAAACCTGGCTTTTGCTGGGGAGCTTCTAAGAGATCTGTGAATATCTACTCTGAGCTCAAAACTTTCAGAAACAGCAAGGAACACCTCTGTAATTGGACTTCTACTATTCTAATCTTGATGTGGACACTGGTAAAGCAGCATGGGCTCGTTAACAGGGCTGTTCTGGGAGACCAATGACATAACATAAGGGCCTTGATTTCTTGAAGACAGGGCACCAAATTCTTTTGATGGGCTTACTTCAGGATTGCTCTTCCATAGCAGCAGCAAGAGAAAAACTCTTCTGCTTTCTTCTCACCTTAAAAATTTAAAAGAAAAGAGTGCAAACACATCTGCGTAAGCATCTTCGTCTCATTTACAAGCTGAGCATAAACTCCAGATCATGGGGCACAGGGTTACCCAACAATTTGTTCCATATAGTAGTCTTGCCTCCTCTTTTTAATGACCCACAAATAGATGTTGGTATGAACAACATAGTAATAAGCTTCAGTGTTTCAATAACTTTGCAAATGTATTGTCCTTTTTCTCTCTTCACTCAGAAAGGGTACCTTGACACAGCAGTGAAGCCACTGGCAGGGGCAGAGGTTCTGTGGAAAGGAAGAGTGGCTGGCTGTGCTTTCTGCAGGATGAGTTGTGCATCACTTGCCTCCCATCACCTCGTTAGCTTTTGCATTGGCCATCTTTAGCATAAGGAAGCAAATGTCCTTCTGTGGCCCATGGAGAGAGACTTGGCTTTTCTGGTTGACTCCCCATAGCCAGGATCCTGGTGCTGGGGGATCAGGGATACAGGCAACTTAAAGCAGCAACACCTGTCCTATGGCCAGCAAGACCTCCAAGCACTCAGATTCCCTTTGCTCTCCCTCTGCTCCGTCATAAGTGTTCGTTGGCACTCATTCCATGAAGAAGAAGATAAGCCAGACCTGGACAGCTAAAGAAAGAGGGATAGCACCCCTTAATATGTTTTAGTAAATTTGAACACACAGGACTGCTTTGGGTGCCCATGATGTGCATCTACACCAGCTAACTTCCACACACTGAGGTTCAGATGGTTTATGACCATATGTAACTTTCACACACACCTCTCACCAATACTACAGGAAAATTGTAATTTCTTCTTTTCCTAAAGTCAATCAAAAAGAAATAAAAATAGGTTTCCCCCTTCTCCCCTTGCATGGCCTTATGGACTGGTTTGGAAAAATGTGTAGGTCTTTGAAGAGTGGTTTGCTGTTGCTGCAATGAGAGGATAGATAATGAGTGTGGCAAGAGCAGCTGAGTTACAGGAAAATAGTCAGCTCTTGCCAGAAAGACCAGCATAGTTTGAACTGCTAGTTCATAGTTGTAAATAAATCTTTGCAATTGAGCCTTTGGAATATCAACATAAATTGTTTCCAAATGCTCTAGACCTGCATGGCTCATATCACTAAATTTGCCAGACACAAATCTTCCTTTCTAAGGGGAAGGGAAATAAACAGATAGAAAGTTCTCCATGTGCACAGTTCTTCTGGAAAAATAGTCAAGTGGGAGAAATGTGTGTACATCTTGGAGGACCTTTTATTTCCTGTACAGGTGGTAACAGACCATTCTGCTCCAGGAGCACATGTAGAGCCCTAGTACTATTGACCTAATTGAAGTCAACAGCAAGTCCCCCTTTGGTATCTACAGGGGCTTAATTTTGAATTCTGTGTCTCCAGATACCTTTACAAAAAGAGATCAGAACTTTGCTGAATAAACTAAACAACTCCTACATGTTTTACACAGTTTGCCTTGGCTTCTTTCTCTCTCTTGTGCATGTACATCTGCACTTTCCAGTATTTAATACCCCATAAGAAGGGTTGAAATAAGAGATGCACAGAACATCACTTATTAGGCTTGCAGCCCCTATTTGAAAAAGCAGACAAGGTCTGCTTTTTCAGTAGTCAATAGTGTCATGGGATTGGGGAATGCTGGATGATTTCTTAATGACATAATGAGCCATAACTTTCATGAGGTAATATGATGACTTTAGCAATTACTGCTAGTAAAATGAGACTAAGCCACTAGGGGAAGAAGAGGAAAGAAATATAGATTTTAAGTCAGTCTACTAATTTTTTGGTAATTTTCCTGCCAATTCTTACTCTTCTTGGAAGACACAGTGTGGGTAGTGCTAACATTTGGCATAAGCTGTAATTTTTCTTCTGGGCATGCAACAGAAAGCTCTTTTCCTTTTGAAGATGTATTTGTTATGTCTGACGCTGCATGAGGGAGACTGCATGGCAGAAAAAAATCAATTTCTCCTTCATGATACTGTTAAGAGCAATCTGAAAAAGCATAAGTGTAGAATGATTACTGCAATAAAATCTAAAGACCTTGTTGTACTACAAAGCAGTGTAATAACAATGAGCCTCTGGCCCACAAAACTTTACAGTCACTAAGTATGAAATACAAGAGGAAGAAACAGATCAATGGCAAGGAGATTGAATTGCGATTTGTGTCCATCCAGAACTATGCAAGTCTTCTGGTTTGTTTTGTTTTGTTGTTTTTTTTTCATAAAGCCCAAAGCAGTGCATAAAGACTGTACTAAGCTAAGCATGAGGGGGTTTCATATAACAGGAGTCAATGGACTGTCAATGTAAAGGACCATATGTACAAAGTGACAGGCAAAATCGTTGCTCAATATGATTTCACATTTATTCATTGTAAGACAACAGTGAAATAATTTGTTTGAAATGATTGCTAATATTTAGTAAATAGGGCCCATGATTACTTTACATTTAATTCTCTCTGGTGCAGAAAAAAAATTGCACAATATCCTCGAAATATCACACAATAGATCCTGAGATCCAATTTAAGGCCAGGACTTAAACAGCCTGGAATCTGGGATGCTTAATCCTGAATTCCAGCTTTCTGAATGAAACCTCATGAACATGAATTCCTAACTTTAAGAGATACTGGATCCAAAATTGGTCCTGGATCAAATAAAGTTTCACATAACTAAAATCAACATGCAGATCTTGGAAACTTTCCTTTCTTGTCTTTTGATTTCCCAAATCTCTGGAGTTGTTCTTCATATCCCATCCAGAGCTGTCCCTGCAGTGTCTTCAAAGAGCATAGTTCATCCATAAATCTGTTTGGGACATAGAAATGAGGACTGCCTCTCCCTGCTCAGGGTGAGGGGGACAATCTACTCTGACAATCTTAGAGCACATTTAAAAAAACTAGATCCCTTCCAGGATAGTGAGGCAAGTGCCCAGGTATTTTCTGAAATAGGGGCAGCGACTATTAAATAATTGTTAAATAAATTATTACACTATTACATAAATTATTAAATAAATATATTACATAATGCTTGCTTTTGCTCCCCTGAAAAGCACCTAGAAGACAATACAGCATTCAAGAAGGAACCTCCTGTGACCAAGAGATAGGAACATCCACCTCTAAGGTAATAGTCCTTCTTCCAGTCACAATGCACTTTGGCATCTTTGGATGAATACAGAAATGATATAAACCTGTAAAGGAATCACACTCTCTGGTTTTTGCTTTTCCACATCTTCACTGAAGAGAAATTTTTCACTCTTTGGTATCACACATCTAATTCAGGGTTAGAAAGAACTAATTCTGCAGAAAAGTGACAAATGCCAGTTCATAAGCGGTTTCTGCTCACACTTTATCTTAGCAATAATGCATATTAAATATACAACCAAACCCTATCATTCAGAAAAAATTATCTAATAAAATCTGATAAAAAGTACAGATTTCTGTCTTAAATACAAAATATTTGGAAAAAGCTGTCACTTCTCTCAGAATCTGTCAAACATTTACATGTGCAACTGAGTGTACATTGGTCTGATTCCATTAATTTTGCTGAAATTACCCCATGAAGGAAATTAAGTCCTCTCTAGTTCTTTCATGGGCAAGTCCAAGCATGTTATATAGGTTAGGGGTGTAAACAGGCACAAAACAGAGAGCAAAATAAATCCACCATCATCTTTTAAATGTTGTGGTAATGACTGCAACTCTACTTCAAGAGGAGACTAACTTGCTGGAAGCAGTTGTTAAGGAAATGTCCCTCTCTACTGCCCCTGTTCTCTTGTCTTTGACTTCCATTGCTAGCTACTGCTGTTGGAGATGGGCTAGACAGGAACTTTGGGTAGTCACTGCACTTCTCTCTGCAGCATGTCTTCTTACCTTCTGTCTTTGTCTTATCAGTCCCTATGATCCTCTCTAGTCCTTAAGGACAAAGAGCACCTAAGGTACTCCCAGCTCCCCTTTGAGATAAGAAAGTTAATCAGTTCCTAGGGCATCTTTAAGGTCAAAGCAGCTGGACTGCTACTCATTCTGGCTTGTCAGTAGCACAGATGACCAGTTGTCATGATTTTTCCTCCAAGCATATTTTGGGGTTTGGTAGTTTGTCTCTCCTTTTTCTTTAGTAGTTACTTGTAGTTCAAAAGACTTTCCAGCAGCTAGGCCATCACTAACCTATGGTACACACCCCTCACCCCTCAAAACCACTCACCCCTCAGTCTGGGCTGGTCAATTCAGCAGTTGATCAACCATCAGAAAAAAAGCCAAACAAAAAAAGCTTTCTACCCATAAAAACAATATAAACTTGCCCATTCAGTCTGCCCTAAAATCCTAATCACATTTCAGCTATAGTGAATGGAAGATAATAATAAAAACTGAAATTCTGGAGGAGAACTCAGGATTTCAGAATGCCCTGTGGGTGGCTCCCACTACCAGAAGGATAGGACAAACTCCAGAATCCAGCAACCTGTGCCAAGAACTCTAAGCAAGTAACAACTTTTTGTTTGAGAGGTGATATTGGCAAAAGGACTGCAGCTGCTGTAAATGTGACTTGTGTGTGAAAGACAGAGGTACCCACTTAAGCCAGTAGTACTCAAAACATTTAAGGATTTATACATCAAATGTGGTTTAAAGAGGAGATGAGGCCTGGCAGGCAGTGAAAATCATGCAGTCCACATGGCATTCACTTTCCATTTGTGAAATTTCCTTTCCTAAGCAGGCAGCTATGCCCTCTCCAGCTGTAACCTCCAAACAGATTTCAGGTGCAACACATGTTGCAACCCTCAGGTTAAGAAAGAAGCTGATGACTCTAATGAAACCCAAAATAAATTGTGGTTAATCAAAGGCATTTGTGTCATTGTTGCTTGTATGTGCATCCAGAAAATGATAGAGACATAAGACCCGAGGAGTAAACAGCAGTTGTTCCTAATTCAGATAAGCTGAAACATCCTATGCAGTTTCTTCCACTTGCTTTTCCCCTTCCATAATCATTGTCTGACATTTGTCTGAGCCAGGGCATCTAGCTCCCACTTGTGTGCCAGTGCAGTTGGATAACTCATTCAGTTGCATCAGAGAAGAATGAGATATACAATCACCAACCCTATACCTCCTGCTGTTAACAGCGCCTATAGTCTCATGCACGAGGAGAGATGCAGAGTTGGTGTTTGCCTGCAGGGGAACAATTTCCAGACACTGGTTTACTGAGTATGCAGAGAAGGAAGATGCAGAAGCACACAACAGTGGTGCCTGAGAGTCTGCGCGTTACTAAAGTCTACTAGCAATGAGAACCTTTGTCTTGCCTTATGCAGGAGATGTTTCTGAAGATTAGCTGGCTCATCCTCCTAATGTACTTGGCTCCCTCCACCCCCTAAAAAGACACCTTCTTGCTTTGGATCTATTGGTCAAATCCCCTTCACAAATCCCATGAGAATTCTTCAGACTCAAGGGTTACTCCTCCTTCTTGTCTCTAACATTAGTTCTGGTGAGAGACAGATCAGTGGATGGCTGAAGTAGATGGGCTATTGTCATTGCCCTGCACTGTAGAATTTATAGTCCAGTTTCTTCCTATTGTGTTCATTTATTTTGACCGAAAGTCAGATTAAAACTGAGGTACAATGTGGTAAACAAGAATTGAAAAACCTTTCTTGGGGGATTGGGTCAAGCGTAGCTCAGTCTGACATGTATGTGCCTGTTTCTGTCTTCGTGACAGGATAGCTGGACTCCAGATACCAACATGACTGAGCGCTTTGACTGCCACTACTGCAAAGAGTCCCTGTTCGGTAAGAAGTACATCCTGAAGGAGGACAGCCCCTATTGTGTGAAATGCTATGAAAATCTTTATTCCAATACCTGCGAGGAATGTGAAAAACCTATTGGCGCTGACTGCAAGGTATGCCAGATTTGTGTCTTGTTACAGAAATCTTGGTAGAGCAGCCTGGAAACAGAGCTGAGACCTGGAAGGATCCAGCCTAACAGCTACGTAGGGGTTCTTTTTGCCGGGAGAGCATAGTTTCTGGACCCCTGTATCTGCTTTTTAGCACTTCCTTTGTCAAACCCTTCTTTACCAGGCATGGTTATAGAAATGCCTTCCCGCAAGGTAAAAAATGATCTGATGTAAGAAATTCTCTCTAAGTCATTAGGAGAGTCTGTCCTCAGGGCCAGCTGTGATCTGGAAGGGTGGCAGAAGCAGATTTTTCTTAACTTTGAGTCAGAGGGAGGGAAGCCACTGCTGGCTTTCCAGTGATCATAATTCTATGGTCATCAAAGAGACAAGACACGCTCAAGAAAAAGTGCCAACTTGGGGACCACAAAATCTAGCTAATGCTGACCAACATAATAAATCAGATAGAGTTAGAAAAAATAGCCTTTTAAATGATGATAAAGGAGTCTAACTAAAGGTTGAAAAGGAGAGAGAATAGACTCTGCTTGAGCTGTGCACTGCTGTACCACATGGAAACACCTCCCTGGTACAATAAGGTGTAACCACCTGCATTTCTTGAGTCATCTAGTGAAGTGTCTGTTGGACTGCTACAGACTGACTCCATCCAATAGCCGTCCTCCTTGCACAAAATTGACCTGTTCAAAGTTGGGCAAGAGTTTCACTGACAGAGTGAGACTGCAGTAGAATTGCAATTTGCATTGCATGACCATAGGATTCTTGACCGATACAAGGAGATCTGACGTTTGATTTTCTCCATTGCTTATCTGTACCTCTAGAAGCACCAATTAATTCCTATTAGTGATACTACTACTCAATCACTAGTTCAGAGATACAAAAATATATGCTTACTCAGATTGGAAAAAATAAATGTTGCATGTCTTCCAAATAGATCTACCCCACTCTATTGGCAAATCAGTGGGAAAGTCCCTTTCAGAAACTTTAGAAAGGTAAGAGTGTTTCATCATCAAGACAGGGAATAGTCTGTAACGGGGTATGAAATTGCCAGCTTTCCTACAGCTCATAAATATTCAGATTAGAGAAGAGATACAGCTGGCCTGTCCTGACCTGAAAAAGCAAAATATTTTTGTCCCATTCCAGAATGCGCTTTTGTTTTAAGGTCTCTTTCTAATCCCCTGAGAAGATATTTCCATGTGTTGATATTCAAGAATTTAAAAACTTGGACTAGCTTCAACAAATCTTGGTCAAAGTATTCAGGAATTAATCAGGCTGAACTTTTCAACCCAGATTTATGGATTTAGGGAGTGTGGGTGTTATCCAATATACAGGGGTTTTTTAAGCAATAAGCACTCTAATAGCAGATAGGAAAAAAAAAAGGGCCCCTTAGTCTACAATATAAGAATATTTTACATATGTAAAGAACCAGATCTATATGCGGAAAACACAACTAAGAGATAGTAAATAAATATTTCTTAAAAAGCTATGAAGCATACCAGAAATGAACATGTCCTTTTTTGTTTCTGTGACCGCTGTTTGTGCCTGTCCATGCTTTATGTTGTAGCTTTTGAACGTGTTGACCAATTTTAACCAAATTCTGCCAGACGGATAAAAGCTGAAACTTAAATTGCTACAAGATTTCTGAAAAAAAACTCAACATGTGCTTGGGTAGAAAAAGACATGCTATGAATGTTCTCACTGAAAAGAAAACTAGAGTAGTTTTTCAATTGCAGTAACAGACACTAGAGAACACATTTGAGAGAACCCTTACAAATGTCTCAGCCCCAAGACAAGTTTCAGACCAAGTATGTCCACTATATGACTGAGCATAATTCAGCTGTGAAACACAAAGTCCCAAAAAAATCAGACTTCTGCTTCCCATTAAACTGTATGTATACATAGGGATATAAATACATAAGAAATATACACACAGACATATACATATGTATTTTTCTATATATCTTTTTAAACATTGCATTTACTTTTTCACCTCAACAAAGAAGATAAATTGCACTGTGTTTGAGAATGAAACCAGTATGTTTACTTCATGTACAAAATGGACTCCACATTTGTTTATATGTTCTGACATAACCTACGGTTGTAAAATTTGGAACAAAAATCTAGTGGAGTGATAGTGTTATCAGAAAAGGTCATGTCTGGGCCTCTGCATCTAGCAGGGGTACCCATTCTTGCACCCACATTACAACCTGAAAAGTCCCATGCAGCTCTCACCTCAAATCTTCTTTTGCAAGTCCCTTCTAGGCCACCATTGTTTTTCTACACTTAGAAAAGCTGCACTGAGAACCAGGTGCTCTTAATTTCCCTCTTTCCAGCCCTCCCAATTAAAAACAGCCCTTCTTTTGATGACAGGGTTAAACCAAAGTAAAATGGGTGTTGACAAGAGGACAGCCAGCTCTCTGTCTCTGAACTACTGTAGTGTACCAGCACTGATGCACAGAATTAATTCACCTGAGTTGAACTTAAGCCTGCTCGGACACTGGTAATACTCCAATTCTGACAGCACTGGGATCTGAGAGGTTGAAACTGATGCCAGATTTTCCCATTGTGTTTAAGCTATGGCACAGAGAGTCCACAAGACAACCATACTGAAGAAAAGCTTTCCTTGAATTCAAATCAGGGGAAAATTTGTTTCACTATCTTTCTAGTTTTTATAGTAATTTATGGGTAGCTGTGAAAGTAACTGAGTAATAACTGATTTGTTCTTTATTTATAAAAAATCAACTTTTTTCCATCAAAAAATCCCAGATTGACAACATGTGTCTGAATGACATCTTTGGATTTAGGCCATTTCATTAACTGTAAACAATTCTAGCTGATGTTTCACAGACAGATTAAAAGCTTCACATACTGCGTGGTAGAAGGCATTGGCAGGCAGTAGAAAAACACGATGCCATTTCTCTCACAGCTATATACATTATTCATATGTTAACACGTTTTAGTATAAATTTACCTTTTCTAAAAAAAAAAAAAAAAAAAAGACATTTTATTGCCTACATCCCTGGTGAACACTTACCACACCTACAGTTTCAAGTTTCTTTCTGGAAATCCATCCATTATATTCTCATGTGCTTAACTGCTGAAGCATGACTTTTGGTTGACTTTGGCTTTTTTAATACTTTCCTTGCAGATCCTATGGTATAGAAATCATTGCAAAACCAGGAAATACCTACAGTAATCCAGTGTTTAATGCAGTCCACAAGTTGGCCTTGGCAGGCAGAAAGGGGTGAACACTCCCACTGCAACATGTGAGAATTAAATTATAAGTGGATTGTGAGATGAAGCTACTGTCTCAGCACACAGGCCAAAAATGAGTCAGAAGGGTCAGTCTAAAATAAACTAAACAAAAAATTAAAACCTCTAGTAATGTAGATAAGAAAAGGGATAAAATAATTATTTTTCTCATTCTAAGTATTTAAACCTTGTCCTGACTTGCAGCACTTTTTCAGTGCATTACTGAATCTCAGACTAGTTGTAAAGTGGAATGGTAAAAGAGGTAGATACCCTAATATCTTCTCATACCCCTAAGGGTCTGGGTCCAGCACAGTATTGCTTGGTTTTATCTTTTCGCAGCATGCTTTTGACAGGTATGTGCCAGTCTAACATACTTAAGTGCTTTGCTACAGGGTATGTGTAGTGTACAATCTGCACAGCATTTTGTTGGCGTACCCCGTTTCCTCTGCTCTTCTGAAAAGAGCATTTCAGTAGGCAAAAAAGCCTAATGTAGTCTTTGTGAACAACACATGCAGTTCCTCTTCTGGCAATAAGCTCTCTAATCTCCTTCTTCCTGTTGGGTCCCTGCTGAAAGCCAGTTCAGGAGAAATGCTAATGCATAAAGGCTTCAGTTTACTTAGATTTAAAAAGCTGGAGTAGAAGACAACATATGAGGAGCCTTAAGAGTAACCCGGTGACCTGGTAACTCTAGTCTTGGGGGTCTTCTAGGTTTTGGATTTTTTTAAAAACAATTTTCTAGTTTAAAAAAAGTCACAGTCTCACCCTAGAGACTAAATAAACCACACTGGAGCAAAACTGTACAGAACTATGGAAAAGCTGTTAAAACATCATCTTGCCAATGTTAACAGTTATTTTGTCAAAGTTTTCTTTGCGAGTGCCATAAGGAAAATAAGAGAAAATAAAATTACTCTAAAAGCACATAGTGGCTTTTCAAAACCATGAGTTTCAAACCTGTTTTGCATGGCATGACTCTAAAAAGTTTCAGATACAAATAGGATCTTGCGTCAAGTTTTGCTTACAGTCATCTGAGCACCTACAAAAGATCTCCACTTGGTTGACACTGATGTTTGTTTGAGAAACATTCATTGTTCATTTGGTTGTGTCAAGGAACCCTGAGCTGAAATTTTCAGCTGAGGTTGATACTGAGATCAGACTGAGAAAAGAGCCCATTAAAATATGAGTAGTTTCAGGGATTGCTAATTTAGTTAATTTTTAATCTTCAAATGAAACTATATGAGAGAAGGATTATTTTCTATATTCAGAAGAAATGTCACTGAACGAAGTGTTAAAATTTCTCCCTCCAAATACTGCTACAGGATTTATCACAGCTCTGCAGAGATGGTATTATCGTCCTCCCTTTCTCTTTTCCGTAGTAGCAGATCTCAGACTGGCTTGGTGCTCTCTGCACTTCAGCTGCAAAATGCTTGTACAGGGCAGAGCATGTCCATGAGCACCTGTGTGTATGCATCTCCCATTCCACTCCTCAAATGCCAGTCTATGGTAATTCTTCAGTCTCTTATCTGTGCTTTATCTAACAAGTCTCTTATATATGTTCATGGGTGCCTTCTCTAACAAAAGCACATGGCAGTCAGTTTTCATAGAGGCACAGATGATGGCAGAAAGAGTCATTCTCTATATAACTCTTTAAGGCAACATAGGAGGTTGCATTAAAATCTACACTTAAAATATATAGCACCAGGGACTCATTTCCCTTGAGCTGCATGAAACAGCTGACAAGTCATGCCTATCAATATTTTAAGGATATACTGCAGTTCCGAGTCCACAATAGTAATATTCTGTTTTGGTTCTTCCTGGAAATCCATGCAATAAACAGGAATTAGTTGTATATCCCTTGTAACTTTAGCTGGAACAGATTCATTTGGGTTACTATCAGCTAGCATAAACTAGTATTCACATGCCTAGACTAAATCTGATGCTCTTTTAGCTTAGCAGAGGACCAGCCTGACCTTCAGATAAGTTTGAAGTCAGTTATGCACATGTAACTTCTCCAGTGTAGAATCTGCTCCAGATCAATACATCCACAGCTTACGAACAAGCCAAAGGTTCCAGCAATATAGACAACACACTGAAGTAGACCAAACCTCCTTTTCAGTGACTTTATTACACTGACTTAAGAAGAATCATGATGCATATATGGTTTCATCAGTACCTTGGACTTCCTTGCTTACAGATGTGACAGATTCAGAGAGAGAAGGCGATATCCAATTCATCATTCTAATATTCTATTGTAGGCATCTCAAAACCAGGCATCTTAGATTCTCTCTACATTCAATGTTATAACAATCCAAAGTATCTGAAGATTATTCAATCCAGTCTTTATCTTGGGTACTTTATGTTGCAGTTGTTCTTCATCACTTTGCCATGATGAAATATCTGCTACTTTCACCTACCCAGCTACTACCTATATAATCTGCCATCATAACTGACTCAAGAATCAAATCTTTCATCATTCACACCTAATTTTTTTCTTCATTACTCCTCTTCTAAAAGGCATGCACCTTCTCCAGGGTAAAATCTTATTGACAAAATAAGCAGACATCAGCACGTGAACTGTGGAGATTAAAAGATAGCTTGCAGAAAATTGCGAAAAGAGGAAAAAGGCAGCAAGTGGGGAAAAGGAATGGAATACATCATGTTGCAAAAGAAAGAAAATCAGATCTGTTGTGATTCTACTTTCTACCAGGCAAATTTCACATTTTGGAAATCACTGTTGGCTGTATATTACAGTCTTTTCTGTTGAAAATATAATCTGAGATCAGATTTAGGCTATTCAACATCATTTGAAGAGAAAAAAATGTAAACAACTTCTGAAAAAAATTGTTTTCAATTTTTTATTAAAAAAGATTAAAATTTTATGGTGAGAAATTTGTGCTGTTTCAAAAGGTGCTAGCTGAAAAGAATAGATGAGCTGAATAAACAAGTGCCTGGAAGCTGTAAAGTGGGAGTCTTAGATATTCTGTCACAGAGTGCAATCTCAGAGATGCAAAACGCATTGGTACAAACTGTTATACACAGTGATTTAGGAAATTTAGGTGAGTAGTGCAGACGACCAAACAAAAGTGCTTAATTGCATGGTCAATTTCTGACTGAAATCACTATCATTTAACAAGTTACTACATATCAGCTAAGCTAGATGAAACTATATCAGTGTTTCCTATTAACTACTTATGAGAACAAGGCTCCTGAAGACATAATGTGCTGTTATTTTAAGTTAACCCAGATCTACAATATCTTTTGTTTGCTCTGGGCTAAGATTGCTCATTTGGAGTTACCTGTGACTGTACTGACTGACATAGAGCAGCTTAGGCCAGATCAGGTACAAACACTTCGTGATGCTTTACACAACTAAAAAATCTGGTATTCTACAACTCATTTGTTTCCTTCAGTTAACCAGATTAGCTCAGTGCCTGCAACAAATACATAGTGGATCTTGAGCTAGAAGTTATTTCTGCTCCATTCATGGCAGTACTAATCACTCACACTCCCAACCCAAACCGAAGCCTATATATTTTGGGGTAGACACCTTTACTTGTAACAATCCAAGCTCCATTTTGTGAGAAACCAAAGTCACTGTTCGAGTGTTACATGATTAGGCCACCTTAATTCAAATTTTAAAAAGCCCAATTCATTGCTTTAGGTCACAATTTTTAGAAGGATTGGGTTTTTTTTAAATAATAAGAGGACCACTGTGGAGAGTATTTTAAATACTTACACCCTCACATTAATCATTTGGCCAGTGTTCTGGATCACTGGGTGCAGGTACAATGTGATCTCACATCTTTCAGTCCAATATATAGGTATAGTGAAATATACGTAAAACAAAACATAAGAGTCCGTAAAGACTTATTGCAGTGAAAAAAAACCCAAAGAGGTCAGATCTGTTTCACCCTTGGTGTAAGTCTGTTGAACTGAAAAAGTACCAGAAAGCAGTTGGGAAAGGGATTTCTGTTCAGGAGTGAATATGTATGAAATTACTTAGGAATCAGCAATAGATAACGCACATCTATGAGGTTAACGAGTTTTAATCTAACTCAAAAGTGGAGCTTTATTCTCAAAGGAAATACCTAAATGAAATTAGTTGTTCCTCTACATACAAAAAAAGTTACCTTGAACTGAAAAAGGGTCAGTAGTTGTCATGATCTGTTCTTAGTTATCACAGCAAAATAAGTTCACCTTCATCAGAACATTTTGTTTTCTTGAACTGTACAAATTAGTCCCAGCTCCTGGCTGCAGTTCAGATTTGGATATATTTGCATTATCTGAGCTTCTAGTTGTGCAAACTGTTCATTCCACTTGCTTTGTGGTTTTGGATTTCTACAGGATCTGTCTTACAAGGACCGCCACTGGCATGAAACCTGCTTCCACTGCTTCCAGTGCAAGAATTCATTGGTGGACAAACCTTTTGCTGCAAAAGAGGAACATCTACTTTGTACTGACTGCTACTCCAACGAATACTCTTCCAAATGTAATGAGTGCAAGAAGACTATTATGCCAGGTTAGGATGTTCACTTTCTGGACTAAGAAAAGATTAGGCTAAATATTAAGCCCAAACTCAGCAACATTTCTTACAGATCTTTTTCCTTGACTATTTCTGCTAAGTCATGGTGAACTATATAAAATGTAGTTGATTGTGCATTCTAAGCCATTTCCATGACCAGAACATGTAATGTTCGTAATGTTCATGATGTTCTGCTCATGGTAGAATTATTATTCACATAAAAGAGATTACTCTTGAAAATTAGTATTTATTTTACTTAGCATTTTTATTAACAGGATTTATAATTTTTTTACAGCAGTATTCATTAAAAGGCTTTTGATGTCTGGAAAAATAATATTGAACTTTCTATCCAATCCCAACTTTGTACTCTGTCTTGATTGACTTCCACTTCTTGAAAACTGGAAACAGCTTGCAAATTTAACAGCTTACTTAATTTGAAATTTAGCTTTTTATGTGATTACTCTAAATTTAGCTTCTCTCAGAAAAAAATGAAAAATTCATCAAAGTGACTCTGAGGTCCTTCTTGAGCACAAAGATATGAAGAAACAGGAAAGAGCTATTTTCTTTTTCAACATGAAACATGAGGTTATAGTAATAGATTGTTAAAACCTCATCTGGTCATGTCAACACTACAACATTCTGTAATAATCTGAGGGCTTTAAATTGAAAGGGCTATCAGTGCAGAAATAAAATATTAAAAGGCAATTTGAAGAATCCTTGTACACACTCCATTATGATTACTAGTTACTTTGTCAGCTGGTTCTGACATTGGTCACCTCAGACAAAAGCAAAACCAAAACATTGTGCTCCTAAGGTGTAAAAATGAGGGCTTGATGATAAAGTAGGACTTATAACTAGAAATAACAACAATATTTAAAAGCAGTATGCCTGTTAAATACTAAAGTAATTACAAGATTTATCTTTCAATCCTTCTGCAAATTAAACTCACACTGACTTCAGTCCAGGCTCCCCCTGCCTTGAGTTTCAGTAACAACACAATCCCTGAGAGAGAACAGCTGAAAATGTGAAAGTAAAATTCTAGACTATAAAAAAAAAAAATCACATCTCCTTTTCCACAACATCATTCCTTCAAGGACTGATTTGTTTGCTCCTTGGCATGATATAGAAATTTAGCAGCACAGAGAGGGCATAATTTTTAGAAGACGTCCATTAATAAAATGGAACAGAAATATTCAAGCATATAAGCATCAGGCAGAAAGATAACTAACAGTTCACTTACTACTGCTGCAGGTAAATGCTTTAAAAAACCCCACCACCAAATAAATCTTGAAGTATGCCTCTGGGCAGAATTTAATAAGACCATAAAAAAAAAAAAAAAGAAGAAAAACATGCAACTAGTAAATAAAGATGAATTAATATATGAGAAGGGGGAAAATGGCAAAACTTAACTCTGCAAGTAATGGTGGGGTGGAGAGTTAGCATTAAGGGCATTAGTGTGGTCCTTCATCATTAGCCAGCATGCTTGGCTTGTTGGTCTTCCAAGCATTTGACATCATGTTTGTTGTTACAGGCTTCAAGAATGATGCAGAACTGTAGGAACAACATTTGTTTGTTTATCCTTCTGACCAGTATCAAATATTCTGACTTGAAGTGGTAAATAGGAAATTATACAGTGTGCAAAGAAATTTGTTCATATAATAGGGCATCTCCAATTTCCTGGAAGGGCTCAGAGTCCACCTGTCATACAGTGGACTGAATCTGCAAAACAAAGTATCTGAACCCTAAACCTTGATTCCAGAGAATCATTCATTTCCTAAGTAGTAAACCACTTTTCTATTTTTCTTTTAAGGACTATTTAAAGGTTTTTCTCCCTTTCACGTTGCAACTATGTTTTCAACTTAGAGAGAAAGCTTCTTTTCTACTGAAAATCTCAAGAGACAGAAAAGCATTTAGATTAGGAGTTGCTGAGCTGGAAATGATTGCAAACTCATAGTAGACCTCAATGAGGACAGGAAAAAGACCCCAGAGCAGATATGAATTAGTCCTTTGTCTCGGACAGTGACTATACTTCATTGGGAAAGGGAAGAAAGACGGTTGCCAGGAATTGGATGCCCCATCCCTGGCAGTGTTCAAGGCCAGGTAGGATGGGGCTTTAAACAGTGAGAGGTGTCCCTGCCCATGGCAGGGGGTTTGGAACCAGATGATCTTTAAGGCCCCTTCCAACCCAAAAGATTCTATGATTCTATAATTAACCAGGTATCTTGCTGTTATCTGGAAAAGAAACAAAATAGATTTGAAATGAACGAAGTCAATCTTCAACAAGGAATGGTCTTACCTTCACTCAGCACTAACAACAGCTTTTATTGGCGTCTCTCAAGTTCGCCAGAATCTTCCTTTGCATTAGAATTCATTATTAGCCTAATAAGACCACAAAAAGGTGTTTTAAGCCATCATTATTTTCAATAAATGTTTCTCTGCTTCACGGGAGAAGAAGAACCTCTTGCTCTTCAAAAACTTTAAATGGTATTCAATACTACGCAAAGCTGGTAGAAACATGAAGTAGCCTATAGCTCAGAGCTGCACTGCTTATTGACTGACAGCCAGATGCCAGGCAAACAAGAAGTACAAATTGCATCCATCTCATCCAGAAGAAGTTCAGTTGATGCTCTGGTCTCATTACAGGTACTCGGAAGATGGAATACAAAGGCAACAGCTGGCACGAGACCTGCTTTATCTGCTACCGCTGCCAACAGCCTATTGGGACAAAGAGTTTCATCCCTAAGGACCATCAAAACTTTTGTGTACCCTGTTATGAAAAGCAATTTGCCATGCAGTGTGTCCAGTGCAAGAAGGTAATGCTCTTACTTTACTTACCTGAAAGCTAAGGCATTGAAGTCCATCCCATTCTATGTCCAAAGAGGTAGAATATCTCATTTTTGTATGTATTAAAAAGATCCAGAATCAACTAATTTTAAGAGATATTTTCAGTTCCCATCCTGCATCAGGCACAGCATTTGCTACAAAGAGACTTCTCTTAGGGTTAAGCATCCCTTTATATTGAAAGCATACAGAGAACATACTAAAAGAATAGAGGTTTTCCTTGGACCTCCTTTTGCTATTGAAATATTTATAAAAACACTTTTTGTTGTCCTCAACTCTCCTTAACTGTTCAGCCAGGCTGGTTGTCTTCCCCACCGACTCACCTTTCGACACATAGGGAGAGCCTGCTCCTGCACCTTCAAGATTTCTTGACCCAAAGCCTTAAAGTCCTTTTTAATTGCCCTGGCACCTCTTTTATCAATCTCATCACTGCCAACCTGTACTACCAACAGTGGGTAATAAACAGTGGGTCAAATTAGCTAGGGGAGTCTCTTGCTAATATCCCTCACCCCAGCCCCAGGAAGGGACCAGACTTCCCTGTGGGATGGGTCCAGTCAACATACAGGGCCCTCGGTTCCCCTCAGAAGGGAATCACCAACTACAACTACCCTTCTTTTTTTCTTAATAGCTGCAGTTGTGATCATCTAATAGACAGATTGCGACCACAAGAGCCTCCAGACAGATCTTCTTCTTGAGTGTCATATGTCTGACTCCCTTGGTCCAGGGCCTCATACCTACTCTTTATGGACACCTGGGGAGGTGATGGGGCTCAGTAGAGGATTCTTTTATGTCTCTGACCAGGGACCTGTTTCCATTCCCTTCCATCTACTTGGTCTGTTCCATCTGCCTGATGGCAGGAGGGGCAGGACTTCTCCGACTCCTGTTGAACTTTTGAGGTTGAAAGGGTGTGACTCCACCGGTCTATTTCCCTTTCACTTTCCCTAATAGTCATTAGCCTCTCTACTTCTTCCTTAAGCTTTGCCACTAAACAGAGCTAATCATTCACCTGATTGCACCTCTCGCAGGTGTCTTTAGCACTGTCCTCCAGTACTCATGCCAGGCTCAGACGCTCCCCACAGCCAGTGACCTGGACAGCTGCGTTCTTCTTGGGGGGTTCTGTCTGGGTTAGAACACTCCTGCTGGCAGCAGCAGCAGTGGCTTTTGATCATTTGGAAACCATTGCTGGATCTAGTTGAGTAGGAGAGAAAAAAAAAACAATCATCGAATAAAACCATGCACACCTACCACACAACCCACGAGCAAGAGCCAGGGAGAGTGACTGCGCCCTTCCTGCTCACCCTGCCTGTGCGAACTGCCATGAAAACTGTCGTGCCACACCCTCACTGATATGCCACGCCCCTGTTTGCCTGCTCCTGTCCACTTGGCTTCCTAGAGATTCTCTAAAGCACCTGCAAATAGGCCTGGCAACACCCCCTGCTCATCTGGTTGGCTCCCAAGAGTAGCCAAGCCCAGGTCTTTGCCAAAGTAACAAGGAAGTTGAAATACATAAGGTAGTCATTTCACCATGAAGAAAGAAAAGGTAAAGGAACAGTAATGAGACAGATTCTAGCACATGCGTATGAAAAGTGGCATAGAAAGAATAGCTTGAAAAACAAAGAGGACAACTGAGAGGCAGATTTCACAACATATGCAGAATAAACTACTTTTACTATAGGTCTTGTTTGTATAAATTAGGAAATTATAATAAATGACTTGCGTAATTTATCAAGATCGACTCCCACCCATAAAAATCTCATCACCCTTCCTCTCTACCAAATCAAAACACAAACCTGCAACCCTTAATAAAACACTTTCTGTCTTATTTTTCCTAAAACAGGCTATCACTACAGGAGGTGTTACTTACCGGGAGCAGCCATGGCATAAGGAGTGCTTCGTTTGTACTGGATGCAAGAAGCAGTTGTCCGGACAACGCTTTACCTCCAAGGATGAGTTTGCATACTGCTTGAGCTGCTTCTGCAATCTCTATGCCAAAAAGTGTGCTGGGTGCACAAACCCAATCAGTGGTAGGTCTCTCATAGCTTTTATATTTTGTGGGGGTTTTGTGTGTTGGTTTTTTTTTTTGTTTGGTTTGGGTTTTTTGGGGTTTTGTTTGCCTTTTTTTTTTTCAGTGAACTACTTCTAATATTAAAAATGGTTCAATAATTTATTCTGAATAACCTGAAAGACTGAAGAGACTATATAATTCAAGATCTATGACATTAAATACTTACGATGCCTTTCCAGTGCCTAACAAAAAAGAAATGGAAGATGTCCTTAAATTGAAGTTTCCTCCTTTTCCCCTGATTTTTATGGAACACAGTGGACGTGCATGTTCTGTACATCATCCCACTTGTGTTCATTAGAGGGATCACTGACCTCAGCAACAACAGTCCCCTCACCAGCAGGAAGTGTCTAACTGGCTTATACCTCATGCTGTATCAGAGCACATTTCTTCCCTGCCTTCTCAGGACGTCAACTGAGAAGTCACAAGGCTTTTAGATACCGCTTCCCAGTGCACAAGTATTTAGAGGAGCAACTGCTTAGAACTTTACTATTAAATAGCATAAAACTATAACCTCCTCTATGAAGTAATTAGCCTTTAACAGTATGATCTATACAGTCCAAAACTGCAAATGTGAGTTACATCTGGAGCATTGATTACATACTAGAAAAGCCAGTGTATAACCCCATAGGTACTGTTTTATGTTCGTGTGAAAGAGGCATTTCTCTCTTGAATATTGCAGTCCTTTCTATCATATAGATAGATGTGGTTTGTTTCAACATGTTGTTACTAAAGGCAAAACTAAACAAAAAACTTTCTCACCAGGTAAGATATATGCCAACTAAATCTTTTCACTGACTTCCAAAGCATCATATTCATTCTAATGCATCATATTCAAATTTTTTGACATTTCTGAGGTTAAGCAAAAGACAATTACCACCAAGACATATTTGACTCTTTTTTTTCTTCTACAACTTCAATATCCCTTATGATAACCTCCATAGCCTCAAACTTTGGAATCCTCCCTGTTCTTTACTAATCTGCTTCTTTTCTTGAGGCACTCTTCCTTTGTAGCTATGAATCAAGTCATGACACAACCTGAAAGGCTTCTTTTTTAATGATCTAAATGCACTTTTACAAAACAAAAAAATAACGTACTCAGATGCCATAAAACATTCTGTAGAAAACTATGAGAATTCTGTTCAAGGGCAGGTGCTTTGCTTTTCTTCAGCTGTATCTTCCAGCGCCATCCCTCAAAAGTTCATTTCTACCATTATTACCAGTTGTAACAGCCTCACTCACTCACTTAGCTGAAAGCAACAGAATTATTTGGGGATGAATATATTAGTCGCTACAGAATAAGGATGGCAAAACTAGCATAGTAACAAATGGATTTGTCGCAATGGCATTTTTTCACTACACTGTGTCAGATCTCCATGCCAATGAGGGGAGTCTGCATCACTTGATGGCTGATGTGCTATTCTTTGCTTCTAACAGAAGGCTTTTGTTTTCAAACAGGACTCGGAGGAACCAAGTACATCTCCTTTGAAGAACGGCAGTGGCATAATGATTGCTTTAACTGTAAGAAGTGCTCTCTTTCATTGGTAGGTCGTGGCTTCCTCACAGAAAGGGATGACATCCTTTGCCCTGAATGTGGGAAGGATATCTAAAGCTCAAACTAAGAGGTGAGGAAGAAGAGAGGAAAGCCGTGCTTCCAATATATAGTCTGAAACACACGGATGTTCAGAACTAGCTTTGCCATTCTGTGTCTCGCTGTACTATTAACATTACTTAGCCTTTTCCATTATACTCTCCAAGTCTGGAGGGAAAACAACTCGAATATCTCCAGTAGCAGTGTTGGTGTTTAAGATTTCTACAGCAAACAAAAACTGATTCAAAATATAAGATGTAAAACCATTTGGCTGTTTTTGATATACATACTATTTTTCATGTTTGTTTTTTTTTCCTTCCAGTAAATATTCCAGTTACAAGCAAGTGATACAGTTCAAGGATTACAGTGGCCACACACAATACATTCATAGGTGGATTTAGGGTGAAACCTTCAGCCCACTGAAATCAACAGCAAATGCCATTCAGTTTCAGTAAAGTGATGGTCTCACCCCAGTGTTCTTGAGCTGTGTGACAAGTGTGTGCTGTCAAATCTGTATAAAGACTGCAAAGGTAGAGTGTGTTTCAATGTACAGGGATTTGTGCCATGCCATAAGGAGATAATGATAATTGGGAGTGTGTCACAATAGGTACAGTTCATTGCATGACTAGCTGATCATTGTGTGAAGTACAAGTTCTGATTGACAGTGTCAGTATTCCAGTTAGTTGACATTACACTGCACAGTGTATTTTTCAAAATAAAATAATTTAAAACAAAACTGTGATTGTGGTTTAATTTTATTTACTTGTTATTTACAAGTAAAATGTTCTCACAGTCTGAAGAAACACAACACATACAAATACTATCCTTTTTGCACCCAGTCATTGGGGGTGTGAAATTTAGACAATCCTCAGAAGGGTCCTGCTGATACAATATCGTTCTCTACTAACTGAAGTCAGTGGGAAAATTATCAGCAAAACTGAGTGTGTGAAAATACTGAACTGAATGCAGCTGATAAAAATGTGTTCATAGACTCTAAACCCCAAACCAAAGTATTTTTTTCTTCTCATCAAGCAAGGAGGTCAAGAGAACTCAAAAGACATTTATCTTTGCAAAAGTCAGCAGTTTAACTTCTCTACTAGGGCATGCTTTAATTGTGTTCTGTATTGGGATACATAACACCCTTTGTTGTAGCATAATTTCTGCTACATGTTTGCCATAGAGGCAACTGTCAGCAACAGGGTGCTGCCAGGACAGTAAAATCAAAAGGAAACAATCCAAAGGAAGGTAACTCTTGTCCCAAAGCCAACTGCAAGAAATATGGCCATGTTATGCAGTGTACAATCACAGTACACCTTCCAAATGGAATCCATTTGTGTCCAGCGAAAGGAGGAAAGAAATATGTCACACCTCAACAGGAATCTTCAGATGTGGAAAGATTTAGGAATATACTTACTCTGTGTGTAACTGGGTAGGGAAAGTTTGCTCCTAGTTTCTGCCACCACTCTTGAATTTGTCTCTTTTTGTACCAAGTATGAAGTGCTCACAGGTCGTTCCCCTCTCATTAATTCAACAAGCTGAATATATGCATCAGATCAGATTTAGTGTATTGCACACCATTTGAAGAACTTGGCTGACTGACATTTTTGAAGTGCACGCTGTGCTAACCAGAACTCACTGAATTCTATCCTTTGGTGATTTCATTTTATGATGAAAGCTGTAATAAATAGCCACAAAACTCCCTTTTATATCCACAACTCCCAAAGGAAGGCAAACACCTCACTCTCCTTTGGGGTCTGGCAATCCCTCAGCACACTGCAGCTCTGCCCTAGTGCTTTGCTGAGAGAAGGATTACTATTAGCTAAAGGGTTAATGCCCCTGTACTCAGTACTGGGGAGGCTGGACCTTGACTACTGTGTTCACATTTGGGCCCTCACTACAAGAAGGACATTGAGGTCCTAGAGAGCATCCAGAGAGGGGCAATGGAGCTGGTGAAGGGGCTGGGGCTGGGGGTTGCTTAGCCTGAAGAAAGAAGGGTGAGGTGAGGTCTTATTGCTCTGTACAACTACCTGAAAGGAGACTGAATCAAGATGGGCATCAGCCTCTTCTCTCAGGCAGCTAGTGATAGGACAAGGGGAAATAGCCTCAGGTTGTGACAAGGGAGGTACAGGTCGGACATTAGGAAAATTTTCTTCAGTGGAAGTTGTCAAGCACTGGAACAGGTTTCCCAGGGAAGTGGTGGAATCACCCACTTCATGATAGAGTTTAGTGGGTGTGGTGGTATCCAGGGAAGGGTTGGACTCGATGATCTTGGAGGTCTTTTCTAACCTTAATGATTCTATGAAGACAGTAAGAGCAGCATGGCTTGCACCTTGCCTCCCAAGTACTACAACAGAGGGCAAAATGGTCTCAGCTTTGGGGAAAGGTAGGTGAAACATGGTAAGGCTGGAAAACATACCGGCTTAAAACCAAGATTGTTCCATGCAATAGCAGCATCATGCTATCATTCCAGTACAGCTCTGAATACCCCTCCTTAACACATACCAACACACACGTGCTCCTAGAAACTGGAACTGCACAAAATACATCCTACACTCTAGATCACTGACAAATAAGCCAAGCACAAAACAGAATTCCTATCAGACTGTTACACTAGTGCAAGAACCAGCACTTCACATGATACTACTGCTGCTAAACCTGATCACTTCAAGTCCACTGAAATATAACTGTATAAAATCAACAAGCTTAATTACATCATAAAAACAAGTCAGCACTGCTTTGTCTGCTTTTAATTTAATTTATTTAAATAGGATAAGGCTACTGAAAAGACAAGTCTTTACATACAAAATGTACATTACATTAAAGTTTGCTGTACTCGAGTACAAAAACTGCACAAGTGTTTAGTAAAAGGGAAACAGCACACTATTTTAAAACACACATTCTTACCATTTTACAGCATTCGAGAAGTGCCTTTTATATCGTAACAGTGAATGGAGAACGTCTGTAAAGTAATGAACTAAACTACAGGGTTTGGTTTCAATATAAACCAGTGTTAAAAATGTAAACAAGCTTTCTGATCACTATTGACAGCTTCTTTTAGTGGGTTAACTAAGAGGATTCAGAAGTTGATTTTTTTTGTTGTTGTTTTACTAAGTTTGGGAGCATTGTTATTATTTACCATCCATACCTAAAACTGATCTAAATTGGCTTCACTCTGAGCCACTGAATTTTAATAAAAATGTTTCTGTCGACTTAATTGGATTTCTGCCCTGTAAGGCACTACCAACAATTCAGATGAAACACCAAGTTTCACAGAAAACCAAAATCCATCTTAAATTATCAAAGCAAGGAAAACAGGTTTGTGTATTTTTTTCTAGAGTGCAATTACATGTGTTAATGCTCTCAAGGTACTTCTCTGTCTTCCTCTCCATGTCCCTCTCCAACTTCATAAGCTGAAAAAGCACTGGTTTGCATTCCACTGTTTTTTCCCATATTTTATAAGCATGATTGTAACCAGGAAAGCAACCAAATTTGCTACATTGGCACAATTTTACACTTATGCCTGTATAAAATACGCCTATGTACTTAAGAGAACATGGCACTAATCCATTCACTACTTCCTCTCAAAGTTTCATATCAAACAGTCTAACAACATATTTCCATCAGTGCATTTCTTATTTCATATATCAAGAGAAACTTCAATTTGAAGTAACGCTGTTAAAATAGTTCATCTCTCGTTACCAGCCTAACTTGCACTGCAAATTTTACACTCCTGTTCTGTGCAACAAAAACAAAAACAATTTCTTGTAGACCATCTTATCAGCAGAATGGTCAGTGTTCTCATCCAAATTAATTACCTTTTTAAAGCCAAGAAGGCTCTTGGGATCACCCTAAATCTCAACAGCTGTTTTAACTATTTAACCAGACATGGAATGAAACTGAACCTTAGTGAAACAACGTGTGAATCATAGTGACATGGAGGAGATGAACTATAATAACCTTGAAAACTAGAAGTGGAGGGTTTAGTATAGTGTAATATCACCACCTGTTAAAGAAGTAATTAACTACTTGTTGTGCAAGAGTAGACACTCTTAAGGTTACTGGTGATAGTGACTCCAGATTTACGACAGGGAACTGTTAAACTTGTTAAAGCTTCACAGCAATCTGAATCTCTGTAAGGTTCAAAACCAATTTTATTTAAATTGTTTAAATATACCTATCTATTTTAAAATATGGAAGTAATATTTATGTTTCAAGCACCATTAGCTACTTCATGGCCATGTAACATGCTGGATTTTCTTCTTTGCTTCCGTAGGCTTTAGGTCATTCTGAAATACAAAGAAATATATAAGTATTCTTAGGTATACTGTGCAAATAGAAGTCAGTCATTAATCTGACATATTCAAATCTGCTACTATTGCTGTACTCAGCTATAGGCTACTACAGTAGCTTTCTATTGCCATCTTGTGGAGAAAGTTAAATATCACAGAACTTCTCTACAGAAAATAAAAATAGAGCCAATGAATTTAACTACCTGCAAATCACACAAGTATTTGTTTTTTACTAATCTAAAATCAAATATGCAAAAATGTCTTTCAGTTATGCAGGTTAGAAACAGGTACCTGTTGGAGTTTCAAAACACACTTCCAAAGCTATTTCAGATAGTGTTCTTAAAATACTTGTTGAAATGGGATTGCATAAGGAAAAAAATCCGAACGCACAATTAAGAAACCAATTTAGTTTTGTCAAATAGTAAAAGCATTAGAAAAAGAGAAAGAAAATTTGGTCTTCCCTTGTAATGATCTGGATAAAAAAAGATAAATAACCGCCAAAGCCTCAGATGAACTCATCTTACAAGGAACTTGTAAAAATCAAGAAAATCTGAAGCAAAACGATGGGAGATGAAGTGGTGAAATAATTACCTTTCACCATCTAAAACAATAATAACAAAAGAAATCTGAAAAATGGAGCTTTAATAGTTCACACAAGCAGAGTAAAGACAGGTAAATGAGTTTTCAAGAACATTCTGCAACTCATTGCAACTCTTGTCTTTTCACTGTTATTTACAGCAATCCTGTGGACTGCAACCACTGAAAGGTTTAAGAGAATCAGACCCAAAGATAAGAGGGATAGTTCTGTGCTATTCAGCACGAGAACTTCAGTTTTTCTTGAAAGTCAAAGAACAGTAACTTGCTTGAAGAGAAAATTGTCACTACTGTCATTATACTAAAAACAGATCAGGCTTTACACCCCACAGCCATCTGCCAAGTACACTGATTCTTCCTGACTGCATCACTTACTATTCAACACCACATTCTTTAATTTCAGACAGTAAAGTACCATCCACAGAACACACTTGCCTAACTTCAAACACATCTGACCCACATTAACCAAGGCATGACTGAACTTGCAGGTATTAACTGGAACAACCTAACTGTGGCTAATGTAGAAAGTCAAATGCCAGAGGTCATAGCTTCTGAGTGTCAGTTATATAGTGGCACTTACAAGTGCCATGGTTGTGTCTACAAAACATTTAAATGAAATATAAAGAAGCTGTGAGGCGCATACTAAACAAGTTTCAAAAGCTCTGCAGGTTCAGATCTGACCAACACTTGGAAGAGTTCTAAATACTAAAAAAAGTTAGTAATACGGATAGTAGGAAACACACCTCTCCAGCATAAATTTCATTCAGAGCCTCAGCCATGGCTCTTGTAAAAGTTGCTAAAGCTGTCTTTCAGACACATGTTTAGGTGCTCATGTTTAACACAAGTCTGATGGAACCTACCAATCCATGCAGCAAGGATATTACCTGCATTCTTTCATTAAAGGATTTTTAAAGAAGATATTAACAGAAAGCATTTAATGAGGGAATACTGAGAAAACAAAAGTTCAGTCTCACGTCTCGGGAAGATTCTAATCAACGTTAACTCCACACTGTATATCTAAAGCTCCCCCTGCAGTTCAACTAAGAGTTCGTATTTCTCTTTCTTCCTCTGAAACCAAGACTTATTTCAGATATTCCTGTACTCCAGTGGAAATGTGAAAACTCCCTCATTTGTATCATGAAGGAATACCATACAAATATAAGACTTATCCCTACCTCGTGGCATGTTTTGAAGAGATTACCCATTGCTCCTGCTCACTGACAAGCCCGTTAAGACTAACCACACAGCTGTCAAAATCAACCACTGCTCCATCTCCCCATCTGGCAACTACATTCAGGACCATTACCTACATCTTATAAGATAATGCCCTGCTGAATTCATAGATCCTGCCTTAGCTCTTCACTCATCCCTTCAGCTCATCAGCTTTGTTCTGCCCCCATCTGTAGTGTAGTTCTCTTGTACACACAAAATTTGTTTACAGTCAAATCCAACTTGCAGAAAGAAGGTACTTATTTACCTTTATGGCTAACATCTCACTCATCAGACTTCCACACGAGAACAGCATCCTTCTGTTCAAGATCTCAGCATGTCTTCCTCAATGTCCAAGTATCCAATTAAAATCCTGTCTGAAAATGAGCCCTCGACCTTTGGTGTCTCACCTCGACTGATACAGTTTGTTGTTTTGGCTTCTCATTCAGACCCACAGTCTAAGCTCTCTCCAGATTAACACATCCAGTTCCTTCCTCTAGCTTGCTAATTCCTATGCAAGATTTTAAACAGATGGCATTCTTTCTCTAAGGATATATTCTGTGGCTCTCAGCATCTCACTTCTGCTCCTGTAATATCTCTTCCTTTACTGTGACAAGTGAAAGCTTGTCCTACTCAACCATTCAACTGTGATTGCTACAAATCATTTCATTTTTTCCTTCCCTACTACAGAAAACAGATCACTTGTCTTCCCTCCATGGCTGTTCATGTTGTTCTACAATACCTGTTCTTTCTCTCAGACCAACCAGTAGAATTATCTAGTTGGTGTTTTATTTGACTGCTACCAGCACCACCTTAAGTTTTACCTACTTACTTGTTTTAAAATTATGGGCATGGTTTCTACAGAGTTGCATCTCCCACATAGAAGTTTCCCATGGTCAAGTGCAAAGTACTTTATTTATTTCCTTCTAATCTTTCCCAACCAGCTACACCTTCATCTGTTTCTAAATACTCTACTATTACTCCAAAATAAAATAATCCTGAAAACTCTTACAAAGGTCTAACTTTGGCTCCTCTAAGTTTCAACTATAAAAAGCTGCAAAACAAGATACTGCACAAACGTACCGGCAAACCGGATTCTTCTTTAGGAACAGACCTCTTTAACTTCACAACAGTAGTTCCTGCTATTGGAGACAAAGGGTAAACCTTCAGACTAGTCAACACACCGCTGTTAGTCTTTGAAATATTGTTCTGCTGAGCCTCACTATTCCTCATTCCC